GCTTCAACTAAGAACTATGAGCATCCTAGATCAAGCCAAACTCAAAAATACTAGATAATTTCTGGAAGTCTGGCATTCAGACAAATCAGCAATCAACAGGCACAGGAGATAAAAAACAACTACATACTATTTTAAAGAGGCAAAAATGAAACAAAAAGATCAAAACATCACCTTAACAGCTATCATTAATCAGAGCAGAGATTAACACCAAGATGAAGACCAATGATCAAGAAGTGAGTACCCTAGTTAAGGAACTAGTAACTCAGACTTACAATTAAAAGTAAACAACAGCCTAATCAAGAAACCATTCTGATAGGGCAAGTAATTAATAATAAATAGATAGCAAACCCCATTCTCGTCTAGCCCTGATGTACCTAATTGCTAATGAAACATCTGCAAGAAAACAACCAAACACAGAGAGTACCAAGTACCTTACACAATTAATTTCTCAAATACCGTTGCCAAGCTAGATATTCCTCTTACATCTGAGGACTTCCTATGATTTTACTTTCTATTTTTTAAGTAAAGAACTTTGCATTTATTTTTGATCAATTTCATTCTGTTATTTTTAGCCCTTTTCTCTAATGTACCAAGTAATTGTAGAGAAAATCTATGTGCTTTGTAAGAGATTACACTGACATAATAACTGATAATAAATGTAAAAATAAATATGAATCTTATACCATCTAAAGGTTGATAAATCTTTTTATTCTTAACCTACTGGGCCAGATTTATAATTGGCTTGTTGACCAGTGAAGCCTCAGAATGGGCAGTCCATCTTTTGGAGATCAACTACTTTTTATAGATAATTATACTAAAATTTATGGCCTGACTGAGAGCTGCTAGACAAGGCTAGACAAGGAATAACAGGCTAGACAAGGAATAACTTAACACAAGATTGAACAACAGTGACAAGGTAAGCATAAAGTATAACGAGTTCAACTGGATTGAGGAAGTATATACATCAATCAATCAAATAAATAAATAAATGTGATACATAAATGTGAGATGGAATGAGATGACATAGATTGACCAGTTTAAAGGAGCCTATCTAATAAACTATAGGATGATTTGATCTTCCTTCAATGCTTCAAGAATGAGACACACTGGATGAGAAAGATAAATAGTCTCTGATTTCCACCTCTATTTCCCCCCATCTGCTTATGAGACCTCAGTACATGTCTAATACATCAGCAAAGCGCCAACAGAATCTCGTTGGTGGTAGAAAAGCAGTGCCAACACATGCATGACCTTTTATTATTATTTTTTATTATTTATTTTCTCAAGCGATTATAAGATAACAGGTATAAGTATAAACATAGTTATGAATACATGCAAAGGATACATATAAGAAAAATTAAAAGAAACAAAAGGACAGGGATGGTAGGCATGTTGGTACGCTTATGCACGCCCCCTACAGACCTCTTAGGAAAGGGATGAGATCAATAGTAGACAGTCTAAGGTTAAAGTTTTTGGGGTTTGGGGAAGAAGCCACAGAGTCAAGTAAGGTAGAGTATTCCAGACATTGACCACTCTGTTGCTGAAGTCATATTTCCTGCAATCAAGTTTGTTGCGATTAACCTTGAGTTTGTATCTATTATATGCTCTTGTATTGTTATGGTTGAAGCTGAAGTATTCATTGACAAGTAGGACATTGCAATATATAATTTTATGTACTAAGATCAGACTGAAGGCGGCATAGTTCAAGGTTTTCTAGGTCTAGAATTTCAAGTCTGGTGGCATAAGGTATTCTGCAATGAGTAGAGGAGTGGAGAACTCTTCTTGTGAAATATTTCTGGACTTTCTCAACTGTGCTAATATTAGATACGTAATGTAGGTTCCAGACTGATGAGCTGTATTCGAGTATTGGACTAGCAAATGTTTTGTATGCTCTAGTTGGTGTGATATTACCAGAGAAAAAGCTACATAGGATTAGGTTAACAATTCTTAATGCCTTCCTAATGTATTGTGGGACTTCGGGACATTTTGTACTCTTGGTAACTTTTCTTGCTCTGAATCAGCTGTGAAATCCTGCACGTAGGCATTGTGAAGGCATTTGGCCATCACCTGGCCTAGATGTCCTAATGGTGCTCTATGGTGAAGGAACATGGCCTCTACTCCAGGAGTTCGGAGGGAAGAATATCTGGCAGTTAAATAATACTGAAACCATGTACAAAATCAACACATGTATAGAAAGGTAAAGAGATTCAATATAGAAAGATTGTTTGGATTGGCTATATGAGGGGTAGGGGTGGATGGAAATACCAGGCTTCTGCAGTAATGAGGGAAGGAGTGTTTTGAAAAGGAAGTGGCATGAGAACACATTCTCATAAGATTACCAGCAAATACCAGATGTACTGTACATAGCAGTCATTGGAATCTTTTTGTAATACTTTAACTTTGCTATTTATCAAAGCTTTTCTATTCTTGGAAGTTTTGTTTCTGCAATTTCTTATCTAGCTGCCCCTGAGAAGTCTGATACCGCTTTTGTTTTTTTTTAAACAGGTTCTTATCCTTCTCGAGTTTTTTTTTTCTGATTAGCTTCTCTTGCCATAGGAGCCTTTTTATGATTGTTATTTATAATTAAGGTTTCTATCTTTCTGATTACTTTTTATGAAATAATCAGAAAGAATATGGCTCATACAATTCATGGCCTTTGTTATCTAAACGTGAATGCTTAGAATATGGGGAATAAACAAGGTAAAATTGACTTTTTAAGAAAGAAAATATTAATTCCCTATTTAATAATGGTGATCATAAATGTATAATCTCAAAAAATTATAAGCAGTACAACGCAGTCTTAGTGTGTTTATATTTTTATTTCCTGATAGATGTATACATTATATCGGCTTACAAGTTTAAAAAAATGAACCTGGAAATACTGTAGAGTGTCTGGATTAAAATAAATACAGGAACAAATAAAAACACAAGTGGTCCACAGTTAATGGCCACTCACTAACTTGCAATGATACAGAACAAGTAATACTTCTGGCCATCTGACCACCCCACTGTCATGTGATTACTGGTGGTTCCCTTGGCAACCAGGAGTGCCAGAATTGTCTTTGTTAAATGACACTGGTAAAATGTCACACTTTACAACTGCATCACTTATCAATGACAATTTTTATTTTTGTTGCCTTTGTTATTTTAATTGTGAGCTTCCCAGAATCACATTTGTGAAATAGGTAATTACACAATGTGATAAATGAATAAAAATAAGTAAGACTCAGTAGAAAAGTACCAGATGTTTTAGGGAAAAGTGATCATGTACAACTGGCTTTCTTGATTTTAAAAGAAAAAGTATAATTAAAAAATGTACCTTGGATTTAAAAACAAATAATAATAAGGCAGAAGACCAAATGAGCCTCAGCTTTCAGGTTCTTGAACTTCCTTCCTAGATTTTTAAATAGATGATTTTGCAAAAGTAAATGTGCTAGAGCAAGAAGGGATATTAACTGATAGATAAGATAAATCTTGGAAATTCCATTGCACTCCTGATCCTTGCATATGGGAAACTACATTGAGATGATAAGTTCTGTTCTGCACACATTTATTTCATTTTCTCATGGTAGTGAATTATCATCTATCAGAACTCCTTGTGTCCTTGTGCTTATAATGCAGCCCTAGGCACTGAAACAGACTTTGTCTTCAAGGAAAGTTGCAAAAGCTTTTTATTGCATAATATACGGATGGAAATAGAGAATTAAAATGAATAGTTGAACATAGTAGTAAGCTGCTACCAGCACAGCAACTCCTTGTGGAGAAATATGAAGTGCAGATTTCAAGACACGTTTCTTAAGCAATAAGAAACAACAAAATGGATGTTTTATGAAATTATGATGTAGCAAAAGCTATATTAGAGATTGCTGTCCTATAGCTTTATTTTCTAAAAGCACTTCCATATTTTTTCACTGCTAATAGCTAAGGACTTTGTTTTCTGAAGCTGTAGTTGCAGATTTCATAAAATCAGTTGGATGAGCTCTTTCATGGAAATTATTTCTGTAACCAATAGATTTCTTATCCAGTTCCTGAATATGATAAATCATTTCACATAAGATATGCTGACTTCAAACAGTATTTTCTTGTTTAATCAAAGTTATTCCCTTTCCTTTTTCTGAAATGTAACTTTGTTTGACATTTAAGATTTGCTCACTTTTTATGTTTGCCCAAAATTAGAGAATAATCATGTAACTAACAACAATTCTATTTTATTATGGAAAAATGAAAGTATTCATTTATTTATGAAATTTATTGGCCACCCATCTTATCATAGAGTAAGTGTGTCCTAGCAAAATGTACCCTTGACCTACAAAAATTAATTTCTTATTGTAAATAACCAGTACAGTTACCAAGATTAGGGTGTAGCTGCTTATTTTGCAGGCTGCCTTATTTTTCAACTTAGTTTTTTCAAATTAAAGGGTCTTTAACCCTATGCTGACCTGTGACTGTAGGCAGATTTAAGTCTGAGATTAAAAACTAATTAAAAAGTCTTATGATAAAATATATCTGCAGTTGAGAGCAAATGTAATCAATTACATATAATGAAATGTCATTGTTAAAAGCATATTTGATTCTACCTATTTCTGTATTTTTTCCTATGCTTGCATTCAAATCAATTCAGATAATTATAATAATAAATTTGCATGGTAGTACATTCATCTTATAAATATTTCTGGGATTTTTTTTGTTTTCTGTGGTTGCATAGGGAAAAATACTACTAGTTTGGAAGAGTAGTAACTGATATATGCATGTATCATCACAAACACCGAAAACCAAATAAAAATGAAAACAGGATAAGATGGGAAAATAAGTTTTAAAAGATCTCTGCTGGATAAGCAATATGGAAAAGAAATATTAGAGGAGTAAAAGAGACACTTAAAATTTGTGGCAAAGACGATATGAGGACAATCTGTTTATGTATTCACAAAATATTTTTTTAATTCTGTACGATTCTGATCAATATTTTGGATGTGGGCTTAAAGATGTTTGTTTGTATCTAGGTTAAAAGAGTCCACATTTGATGACATCAACTTGGAGTCGCCCGAGTATTCATTTTTCTTTGACATTTTCCTCTAATCAAATTTAGATGTTCTTATCCTTTTCATCTTTCATACAGGTAAGTTATTTTATTCTGGGAAAGAAATATTATTAACATTTAAGAACAGAAGTGATGTTATGAGGACTAGCATATTGTATGGTTAAGACTTAGACTCTTAAGGAGGGACACCTATTTTTTAGTCCTCCATAGATGTAAGCTATGTCACCTTGGGCAGTCAGTGAAAGATAGGGCCAAGGAAAGATAGAACAGATTAAAAAAACAAGATTAACTGATGATGAATTTGGTTCAGCCTCTGCAAAGAGTTGCAATGGAAAAGCCATCTTCCTCAGATAGCAATGGAGGTATGGCAGAGGTGAACTGTGCTGGCAGTATGTCCAGCTTAAAAGGTCAGGGGAGGACTGCAGCTTGTCTTCATTAATCTCTGATTTAGAAGAGCAAATTGGGAGATTGGAGTCCAGCTCTAAAACTTATAGCTTCTGGAGAGGCAAGTGAGACAGATAGCAGCAGAGTCAAGAGATTTGGACTTTGATAAGGAGATTAACTTGCAGAAACCAAAGAAAGGAGAAGAGAGGATAAATACCAGTCTTATCAGGTATTTTGTAGCTAGAGTGGGGTTTTACATAGGAAGTAAGACAATAGCACATGTCCAATGCACACATTGGAAGGTACTGAGCAAGTCTCCACCACAGTGAAAAAATTGTGGCAGGGAGGCACTTCTGTCTAGTTAGATACTGAAAATGTACAAATAATAGGGGGAGTTCCCAAGACTTATTAAAGGTTAAAGGGACTAGTTACAAGTTAGGCAGAAGGTGAAATGAGTTTGGGTTGATGTGTAAGTTAATGTATTACATCCCAATCTAAACCAATAGAAATGTCCTGTAATGATGTTGATGAGAGATAGATGGCCGATGCAGGTAAGATAAGAAAGGGAAGTGTACATTTTGATGTTTAGAGGTGATTTGATTGGGGTTCAATTGAACAGATGTAGATACAGCAGGAGGTGCTAGGGATTGTTATGCTTTTTAGAGAGATAATGCTATCCATAGAGAAAAGGTGATCTTCTGTTAGCGCAGTAGAGAATTTAATACTCTGTTAAATATTCTGTTAAAAATAAAGGTATGCTTTACAAATAGAATTGTGGGCTTTTTAAAAACTGATTCTTTAGACTTATCTGTTATTTCTGGGCTTCTTATTTTTAAGATTTTTTATTTCCATATTATTTCTAAAAATGTATTTTTCTATCTAATTATATTGTAATCTATAATTCTATATTTTATTTTCACTTATCCAACTTTTATGATTATTTTTCTCCAAAATTTTACAATTTTTTAATGTACTTACTATATTTTTGGTAATACATTATGAATTACCAGAAATATAAATAAATAATTTCTCCATGGTCAAATAGTCCAACTTTATATTCCTTCTTTTTGCTCTGCACAATCTTGATCTTTAAATCATTCCTATGGCATGACAAGAGTTGATCGTTTATCACTGTTTGTATAGAAGCATAGGCAGAGCTGAGGGGGATGGAGTTAAGCATGTCATCAGTTTAGAGTTCTTATGTTGCCAAAAATGATCTAAGTCCAACCATTCCTGAATTCCGTTGATATTTTCCTGGTGCCAATTTAGTGTTAGAATTTTAGTTGACTAGATTTGAAAAAAATCTATGCTGCAGTCTAAGGTTATATAACAGATAGTCTTCATTCTCTTCTGTCACTTTGGCATTTAAAAGGAGTCTTCAAAGCTTTCACCAACCTTTGTTAATCTATAAAGAGGCATCACCTAGAATTTCTTGTTGCAGCTGTTCTATGTGCGTATCTTTTTTTTTATTTGTCTTTTGTATTTCCATTTTGGAAATTTTAATTTTGTTTTCTGTGCCTTCAAACTCTAGTCTGTGTCAGGTAAAAGTTTTTTCATAATCTTTTCAAAGTCTATCCATTGAAATCTGTATCCTTTCTGAGATATTAATATTTCAGTCAATATTTCAAAATACCTTTTTTAGATAAGAAAAAGTTATAAGTAGCTTAGGCATTTTAACATTTTTTTTTCTGCCTGGTCCGTTAGTTCCCTCTAGTGTCCATTTGCAATCGTCAACAAATCTCAGTTCATGGTTCCTTTCAGTCATTTCCCATGAGGTTATATTAATATAACCTCATGGGAAATGACTGAAAGGAAATAGTTAACTATTTAAATAATAATTATTTAATTATAAATATATATTTAAAATAAACATATTTATAATTAAATAATAAACAACGTCCCATATCTCTCTAGTCTTTCAATCCATTTAGTTTTTTCAAAAAATCAAACTCCTTTTATGAAAAGCTTTTTGCCAATTCTTTAAAAAAAAAAAATTAAGTCTGAAGAATGTAAAACTCACCAGATGTCAAATTAAGCTCACTGTTTTGAAGGTCTCTAATATTCATAAAGTGGTGGAATTGAATATTTTTAAATGTGATTAGAAAGTGAATCCTTATTAAAGGCTCTGCTGCTATTAAGAGCAAAGATATTGCCTTCTTCCATTCCTGGGGCTTGAACCTGCATGCAACCACTGGAGAAAATGCCATTCATAGCACTCATTGACAGTTTTCTTCCCCAGTGAGATTCAGAGGACTGGTCTACTTGCCAGTCTTTCTTTCTTTACAGCTCGTTTGCCAGCCCCTACTCACATTGCCAGCTACTCACTACAGTATTTTTATTATAATATCTTCTATTAAATTTTCATTCTTTCTAAAGGTCTGTCAATTCCAGACCTTTACTAACCTTTCTCCTGGCTTTTTGCCACCTCTGTTGTGCAAGTGTGGCTGGTCATCATTATAGATCTTGATTGCCTCTAGTTCTGCTGTAGACTTAACTTAAAGTTATTTTCTATCTGCACTGACCTTCTCTAACATAAACTGCTATTATGCCAGGACTGCTTATCTCTAGTGTTGGCTCTCATCACCTTGTCCCTGGCTTTCTGGTACTGATAGTTTGGCACTAGCTCTTTTTGATTGATACTGTCTGGCATTTGATACTTCTAGCCTACTCTGGTATGAACCTCTCTGACCACTGTTATCCTGTTACTCTGATTCAGTTCTCTGGCTTCTCTGGCAATTTGTGTGTCTAATATGCTCCAATTTAACTATCTCTGTCATCTAGTGCTGTTGTTATCATTGCTCTATGCTGCTTCCAGCCTCATCTACAGCATCTGCCTGGCTTGGAATAAGTGAAAATGCTGCAGGCTGAAAAGCTAACTGTTTCTGGCCTCAGCCCTCTCAGAGTTCATCCTAGTACTCCAGTGCTTTCCAGTTCCATGTGACTGGAAAAAACCCTTTCCAAGGGACTTGCCCTCTCGGACTTTCCCTTGTACCACTTCCTTTTTTGTAGTTGTCTTTAACACTTGAACTCCTTTTTCTCTCTCCTTTGTGGTGCTGAACTGCACAGCCAAGTTTTCCTGTGCCTACATCATTGTTTAAATGACTGGCTCCTCAAAATGGTAATGGTGCAGTCCTTTTAAACTATTGGAGCAATGTACAGAAATCCTTACTACTGCTGGTGTCCTCTCAAACTACTTCAAAGCCAGCTGTTCATCCCTGGGTATTGGGACCTGAATTCTTATGTACCCAGGGTTCCGGCTGCTGCCAGTAAACACCAGATCTTTATGAAATCTTTATGAAATAAGACCATACCCATATATGATGGAAATATGCACAGATGTGGTGTAACTGAGATCTTGTTGGGCAGCTACGGGAAAATTTGCTCTCCTAGGTTTCAGGTCTTGCTCAGTTATGATGCAAGATCAAGGAGGTGGTCCAACCATGGTTGTGCCTATACCTTTTGCAGTGATTGGAGTTCAATTTCTCCACTGCACCTTATACAGGGAAAGCATTTGCACTTTGGCATGGAATGTTGGCAACTATTCCTTTCCACCTCCACAGTTGGCCTGTTAGGTTGGAGAGAATTCCCCTGCTAGGCTACACTTGCTTTTTCTGCTGTGTTTTTTATACATTTAGATCATAATCAGAAAATGAACGTGCTTCCTAAACACCTTAGTTTTCCAACTGAGTTTCAGGTTGTTGTTTTTATCAACACTTCTTGAAAATAAGTAGTCAGTATCTTGTTTTATAAAATAAAATTCAGAAAAATTATATATAAGTTGAAATATGGTAGCAATCCAACTTCCAGACTGTCCATGCAGACTGTTTTGTTTCTGATTGTGACTCTGCCTTTTATAAATACACACTTTTTAAAAAAAAACACCAAACAATGAAGTAAAATATTAATATTCTATCATTTCCTCCATAATATCTAGTATTTTAATTCCAGTTTCCAAATGTGCTAATAAAAGGATCCATTTGAGACTCTGCCACAATTCTATTTTTATGTTTATTATGTCCTGCCCCAAAGAATCTGGAATGCTTCATATCTACTAATGAATGTGCCTTCTCTCTGCGTTACTGGGGTTTCCTATGCTAATGCACCTTAAATGGTAAATCATTCCCCACTAGTCTTTTGAATTTGGTGTATATACAGTTAGTAACTTTGTAAAGCTTACTACTTCTGCTGATCTCATCCATGAAAATGAATTTTTAGGAACATCCTGTGATTCCTCAACATCTCTTAGGATTCAGCAAAGATTGGATATAAAATTCTATATCTTTTCCACCTCATTATTTAAAATGTAAAGCAAGTTTGAAAGACTGCTATTGGGATTGGAAAAATGAAAGGGGTTGATTAAGCTGCTCTTTCTGCTGTTCAGTGCTTTCTAAAATATAAATTATGCAAAGGAGAAAAATGCTGACATTGACTCTTCCTGATCATAGTTATTCAAAAGACTTATTTTCACTATAAGAGTTTTCTGTGACTGTCAATCAAAAATATTAGTGCATTAGTCCTGCAGGTCCTAATTGATAACAACATAGCAGGAAGCTATTAATCATAAAATTGCACATGGAAAAACTCAGTGACTCATCTTATTTCTCTTCTACACTTCATATATTCATAACTTTTGGAACATTGGGACTCATCAGGCACTACCTTTCCAGAATTGGTTTCTTTTCTATTTCTTTTCC